GGTTTGTTGCTCTTATTTGAAGGTGTAAAGCGTGAACTGATGAACAGTTTCTCTTTCTCTCTTTCTGCTTTAGATCATTAGAGTTGGACTGTACAGCTCCGAATAAGAGTTGTTCTAGATTTTTTGAAAAGGTCTGCAGAGCTCTGGATGTGAGCTGTTCTTCTAGATCTTTAGAGTTGGACTGTAGAGATTTTTAGAGTTGTGCTGTACAGCTCTGGACGTGAGCTGTTCTAGATCTTCAGAGTTGGACTGTAGAGGTCTGGACATGAGCTGTTCTTCTAGATCTTTAGAGTTGGACAGTAGAGTTCTGGATGTGAGGTGTTCTTTTAGATATTTGGAGCTGGACTGTAGAGCTATGGACATGAGCTATTCTTCTAGATCTTTAGAAGTGGACAGTAGAGTGCTGTTCTTTTAAATCTTTAGAGTTGTGCTGTACAAGTCTGGATGTGAGCTGTTCTTTTAGATCTTTAGATCTTTAGAGTTGTACTGGACAGCTTTGGACATGAGCTGTTCTACTACATCTTTAGAGTTGTACTGGACAGCTCTGGATTTTAGCTGTTCTACTACATCTTTAGAGTTGGACTGTAGAGCTCTGGATGTGAGCTGTTCTTCTACATCTTTAGAGCTGGACTGTAGAGCTCTGGACCTGTATTGTTTTTCTAGATCTTTAGAGTTGGCCTGAACAGCTCTGGACATGAGCTGTTCTACTACATCCTTAGAGTTGGACAACAGAGCTCTGAACTTGAGCTGTTTTTTCAAAATCTTTAGAGTTGGACTGTAGAGCTCTGGATGTAAGCTGTTCAGTATTATATTGGCTAATGTGTTTTTAAGTCAGAGTACGTTCCCAAAATTTGAACTCTGATGTACTTCAAATAGCATAATTTTCACACTCTGCCATGTGTTGGTGTCTATTGTCCATCAGCACTGTGTCCTTATTTAAATCAGTGGCAAAAGTTGTGTGTTTGATGGCGACCAAAACGTGAATACAGCCTAGCTTGAATTAGAAGCAGCTTTTCCTTACAAATGCAGATATTGACTGTGACTGAAAGGTCCATCTCTACAACATACACATACAGTAGTTTATGCGAAAGTTTGGGGGCCTTGAATTACTTTTTGTTGATATTTTCTGAAGTGAAAATAAGTTCTGCACATCTCTACACGCTTCTGCACAACTACTGTTTACTTACTGAATGTAACATATTGGGAAAAAAATAAATGTAAAATGTGGAAGGTATATCTCCAGTACCGGGTTTGGTGACCACTGCTATAGAGGATGTGTTCACTTATTTTCACTTATAACATCAACAAAACGTGTAATTTGATCAACGATGCTCAAACTTTTTTGCACAATTGTGTATATACTCAGAAATGTATGTACTTATGTATGTATATCTATGTATATCCTTTTATTTCCTCTAGTCTGCGTATAGAAGGCAACTATTCTCGATTCCCAACATTAACACACCTGATTCAATTTAGCAGCTAAACTGAGCTGGAAAAAGGGGTCTTCTGGGATTAGATCTAAGAACCGCCGATATAAGGGACAGTTAATGAGTGCGTGTGTGAACGCACCTAACTCTGTTCTCTCTACCCAGATGTCCTAAACTCTCCTGAGCACAGGACTCCAGATGGGGGGTCATTCATTCCATTCATTTTCTACCCCACTCCCTCTCTCTCTCTCTCTCACTGCAGTAGGTGGGTGTGCTTTCTCTAAAGTGTCCACCTCTATCGCACCTACACATTATTCACTAATCCCATATGTTCCTATTCAACCGTAAACATGACCTAAATAACAGTGCAATTCAACCGACCAACCAACAACACAGAAGTACAGACAATAAACAAATACACAATTAAAACCTATAAAAACTACTTCATACAGACTGTATTTGTGCCCTTTACATACATATAAGCTTTTTTAAGACATGTGTGCTTCATTAACCCCATAAAATACCAGGCTTATTGCAGCTGAAGGCTTATTATATTATAACTACGAGGACTACAGTGCTAACTGAGTGGGAAAGCATTCATGCAGTAATAATGTAAAGTAAAAAAGGTGTTGTCGGAGTTCCTGTTTTGTTTACAGAAATATGATGGATTTTGAACAGAGTGATTTCTGATATGACGACAGATTCCTGCATAATTCAGTGTGTGAGATGATTTAGAGTGGTTTGGTGTGAAATGGTTCAGATTTCTTTACAGTGGTGGTGATAGGAACCAGGGGTCGCCATGACAACAACACAAATATAGACATTTTATTTACCATCCAAAACCACCAGTGAACCTACACGAGTCTTCTGAGTTTATATGGAATGCTGTTGACGGTGAAATAGCGGAAAATCTGACAAAATAAGTTTTCTTTGGGGTCTATTTTGCCCTTACAGCACCCTGCATGCACTTCTCTGCTATGAATAAACTTTTAAAAATGTTTTAGGCCAAAATTTTATTTCAAAACAAAAAAAAGCTCATTCTAATTGCACTACTGTTTATATTTGCACTATTTATACCCACTATACTGTATGTGCCTTATGTCACTTTAGTGTTAATTTCAGGACCTTCTTAGATTTATATAATTTTTTTATTATTCTATTTTTCTACAATTAGTGTTTATGTTTACAATTAGTGTTTAGTGTTTTTTTTAGTATCTATTTAAATTCGCACTTTTCCTGTTTACCGTCTATTTAATGTTATCGCTACACCATGGGGTCTGAGAATAACGCAGTTTCAATACTCTGTATGTCCTGTACATATTGTGGTACTGACAACAAAGCTGACTTGACTTGACTTGTAAAACAATGCCTTAGACCTCAGACAGTGAATTCATAACCATTTTATGTAATAACTTTCTGTGAGGGAGCTTTTAGAGGTGGACTTATAGACAAATAAGAGAGAAATGTAGGATATGGGCCCTTTAACATCAGCCAACTGATGTTAATCGATATATCGGTCAGGCCCTGGTCATTATACAAACAAACAAACAAACAAACTTTGGACAAACATCAGACTGGCTTGAATAAAAACTGGACCAGTTACATTATGAGCTCTGCTCTTGTGCATATGATGGGAGCTTGTCCAGCTGGTGTTAGCTAAGCGAAATAAAACACTTGTGCTTTTCAGTCATGTCCTTGTGTTTTTGTTTTGGTTCCTATACTCCGCCCCTTTCCCCGCCTTCCCTATTAGGATTCCCATCTGTCTGTAGCTCCTGTCTCCTCCCTCTTCCAGGTGTTTCCTATTGTTTCTAGCTATGGTTATGTGTCTGCCCTGTGTTTGGTTTGCGCTGTGCGTTTCTTGTTTAAAAGCCTCATAGTTTGTTATTTAGCATCATTCTCAGTGTTTGATCTAATTTGTTTCATTTTATTAAAGTTTGCACGCAGCTACATCCAGCCTCATCACCCTCCACACATGACACATCTCTGACTGGCTGAATCCTGTGCTTTAGTGTTAGATAAGGGGGAAGTGGCATGTTAGATGCAGGCAGGAAGCAAAGTCTGCAGTAAGGATCTCCAGAAGGATGGCTGGTGGCCACTGCTTTAGAATTAAGACATGAAATATTATAAATCAAATCAGATCTCAACCTCATATCGAGCCTAAAAATACAAGTATTGCTACAGCCCTTTCTGCACTGACCGTACAAGTCAAATATGTGGAAAGGCTTAAGATTAAATGCTTAAAATTCATTCGAGACCACAAGAAATGTGAAGTCCATGTATGAATCTATATCCAAAACTTTTCACACTTAAAATGCACTGAATGTCTCCCAACAACTACTTTTCAGCAAAAACAAGGTTTCAGCATGTATATCTTCTTCAGTCCTGTTAGAGAAGCATCTCAGGTGGCTTCTCATGAAGGCAAGGGGGGGACTATTTTGAAGAATCTAAAATAAAGAATAGTCTGGATCTCTGAATAATTTCCTACATGTTAATTTATAGCTTTCTCATCATCATTATTACTGTAAAATGTGGAAAAAATAGAAAATAAGAAGAGAACTTTAATAAGTAGGTATGTCCAAAGCTGACTGGTGCTGAATATCTTACCTTGGCTGAGTTACACTGTTAATTAAACTGAATGCTGCTACTTAAACAGAGCTATAAGAGCAGCTGTGCGAGATTCACTCTGAAGACAACAGGGGGAACCAACTATTACCAGCGCACATCGCGATGTGAGCAACACAAAGTTTAGAAACTGCAAAACTAATCACGGCGTCTAAATGTAGGACACGATGATGGCTTATATTGCTGCTGCTGGATCAAAACCTCGTATCTCCAAAATGGTAACTTTACAGGAGAAGGAAAAAACATACTTTACTTTTAATGTAAGTCAATAGAACCAGAATTTTTCCAAGTAATTTTGGGTCGTTTCTTTTGCTCCACTCTTCATAAAATTTACACACAATGTAAAGAAGAACAAGTATTTTTAAAATTATGTAAAAAAATTAAAAATGCTAAAATGGAGATACAAGGTTTTGTTTCGACAGGAGTGATATATTGCATTTTCTGTGCATTCTTCAGCTTCACAACAGCAGAATCACCAAAACATATGAAAACTGTGAGCATAAAAATGCAAAATCTATTTAATTTATCTCTGCCTGTTGCCTTTGTTTTACTGTGGCAGAAATGGCATTGGGTCAGCAGGCTATGCTAAATCTACAACTAGATATGCGCATTGTAAACAGTTCTGCTTTCACTTCTGAAGAGAAATCCAGAGAACATGGAATTTGACCAGGCTGACCTGCCAAAAGTTTTGCAAAAATAATGTATATAAAAAAAGAATAATAAAATAAGATAAAAAATTTAAATAAAATAAATATTAAAACACATTAAACTGGCATAAAAAAAGCTTCTCTAAAGGCCCACACATTATGATTCTACATGATGTTTCAATGTTGTCTGTTTAATGATTAATCATACTGTTTATGGAAGGTTTTCTTTTTTTTTCTTTGCCAAGTTCCTTTTGTTCTGTTGAACTTGACCAGTGACAGAGAAAAGGAGACAGTCACCTACCTGCAGCCTGAAGCACCAGCTGGAGTCGCACCTTGGCCTGCTCGGCTGGCGTCTGCAATCATGGAAAAAACAAATCAATTGTTAAACAAACAAATAAACAAACAAACTGTCACTGCCCAAAAAACCGCATATCTCCAATTTTTTTTGCCTTTTTTTTTTATTTTACTGCTTCATTTGAACCCGGCAGCTCTGCATGAACATTTAATGATGAACGGACCAATAGAAATGCTCCAAAAATCACTTTACATAAAACCTCTTTACATTAACTTACATTAACCTCTTGTTCACCAGGGTGTATTTTGGTTTGTTCATCTGAATTTACATGCCCAAATCGTAAGGCAATTTATGCAGTAACTGCATGAAATAAATGTAAATTTTCATTTTATTTTTTATTTTTTTGGTAAAAGCTCCTCTTAAATGAACAGAAAATGTGTTTTATGATCATACACATATTGCTATATGCTTACAATTTACTGCTGAAAGCCAAAAACTTCGCACGCTCTTTGTATTATTTTATAAAAATAATTTTACAGAGCAGATCACTGAAGAGACGCCATCTGTTTATAGTTTATAGCCCAGATTTGTGGAAAAATGGGTCAAATTTCAGTAGACAAAAAACCTGAGTTCAGCTTTGTTTATTATAAGGGTTTAATATTACATTACCCATCTATTTGACTGGAAAGAAGACAGTTACAGCTCTCATATGACCCCCACCTTTTAAATGTAGCTTATGAAATATGAAAGTTATGAAGAATATGACGAAGTGCGTTTTGGAACCACCGGTGGTCTGAAGGAGTTGAAAAAGTTAAAAGTTAAGAAACTTTTTGTTGTGTCTTGTAAAATTATCATTTTGGAGATGCTTGTTTTTTGTTTGGACCATGACAAAACGCATCAGAAACAAAAGCATCCAACACCTATGGAAAAAAATGATTAAAATAAAATCACCCCTAAAGAAACGACACCTAACTTACAGGAAATGATGAAGGAATTCTCCGGCATCATCATCACATTTTAAGTATGGGAGAGATCAGAGTAGTTACACCAATAGCTGGTGTTGCAGCGCAAGTTTTAGAGTGTGTGTGTGTGTGTGTGTGTGTGTGTGTGTGTGTGTATGCGGGCTTGCAGATTTGACAGCTCCAGTGGAAATCAGCACTTGTATTTTTGACACAGCTCAAAAGCGTGTAATTCCAATATCCCAGCTATTAGATTTGCCCCTCTTAATTGTCAAGAAAGACGAATTGTATGGTAAGGAAGTTATAAAGGGATATAGATTGCTCTCGGTAGCGGGCGTGTAAGCGCGCGTGTGTGTAGGATTACGGAGAAATTAAATGCTAATAGGATGAAATTTGAATGTGGAGCCTGTGTGTCTTGGCGGCGCTTGGCTTCGGCTGACAGCCCTGACGCGCATTATTCAGCATAAATTTGATTTATCAAACTGTAAAAGTTGTCACTTTGTAAAAACGTCATCTCGGGTGGCGGCGGGGGAAATATAATGACCCGCTTTAATGTAAAACTGTCACTCCGCAGTGTCTTAGATGACAAACACATCCACCTCTCCTTTCAAATCTCCTCGCTTTTCCGACGCTGCTTTTAAAAAACACAGGCGCCTCTCCGAGATCTTCCCCTTGAGCGCGAGTCTGTGCCTCTCTCTTCTCCCTGCACTCCCTTTCTAACGTCGCATCTTATCGGAAAAGGGCTATCAAACGGATCGGGAGCGCCTGGAATGAATTTATTGATTAGGACAGCTGGAAAAGAAGCACAAGTCGCTACATCAGTCTAAGGCTCTCACGATACCGGGATTTTGATGTCGATACCGATATCAAGTGTAGCGTTGCCTGATAGTGAAATGATATAATTAAAAGCTAATTTAAAATGATACTAAAGCAAAACATTAAAAACTAATTTAAATGACAGACTATCTGAAAATTAAAGATCCATTTAAACAATATTAAAGCGATAAAAAGTGGTGGATCACTCTCAGCACTGCAGTAACACTGACGTGGTGGTGGTGTGTTAGTGTGTGTTGTGCTGGTACGAGTGGATCAGACACAGCAGTGCTGCTGGAGTTTTTAAACACTGTGTCCACTCACTGTCCACTCTATTAGACACTCCTACCTTGTCAGTCCACCTTGTAGATGTAAAGTCAGAGATGATAGCTCATCTGCTGCTGCACAGTTTGTGTTGGTTATCCTCTAGTCCTTCAGTGGTCACAGGTCGCTGTTGGCTGGATGTTTTTGGTCAGACCAGCAGTGACACTGAGGTGTTTAAAAACTCCAGCAGCACTACTGTGTCTGATCCAATCAGACCAGCACAACACACACTAACACACCACCACCACGTTAGTGTCACTGCAGTGCTGAGAATGACCCACCTGCTCTCTGGGGTCCTGTGGGGGTCCTGACCATTGAAGAACAGGGTAACAAAGTATACAGAGAAACAGATGGACTACAGTCTGTAACTGTAGAACTACAAAGTGCACCTATATGGTCAGTGGAGCTGATAAAATTGACAAGGAGGTGGTTTTAATGCTGCAGCTGATCTGCTTATAAGCTCCATAGTACTGAATGAATTCACTCGACTCATTGTGCAGCACAACACCGGCCCTCCTTTTTCTCACACTCTCTATTATTCAGCCCCTTTTTTTAGTTCAGGCAATGATGATTACACAAACGCTCCATCTTGGTGCAATAAAAGGGGAAAAAAAACACATTGCAGGGCTTAAGTGGATGGATAACAGCAGGCATGGCAATCATCTTAGTTACAGTTTATTATGAAATTTCCTCCGTAATTACATTTGCATTTGTTTACCGTGCCCCCCAGGCTTCTGTCGGGCCGTATTTACACTACAGGGCTCCTCTAACCCCCCTCCACGGGCAAAGAGGACAAGAACAGATGAAAGGCAGAGAGAAGAAAGAACGCTAATGTGAAGAAAAAGGCAACTGGTCGTTTCGTAACGTGACGGATTGATGGAAGAATAATAGTTGGATAAACACGTCAAATTATGAAAGAGTGAGGGAGGCCCACAAGAGATACGGAGAGAGACAGAGAGAGAGAGAGAGAGAGAGAGAGAGAGTAAATAAAAAGAGGTATAGAGAGACATTCAGAGAGACAGATATGGAGAGAGGAGGAGAAAGAGAGAGAAAGAAGTAAAAAGAGGTAGAGACAGAGAGAGAGGAAAAGAGAGAGAGGGAAAGAAAGGTAGAGAGAGATATAGATGTTTATAAATATAAAGAGAGTGAGGGTAGGAGGAGAGAGTGAGAGAGTGGAAAAAAGAAGAAAGAAGTAGCAAGACAGACAATGAGAAAGAGAGTGAGAAACAGAGAGAGAGAGATAGATGGAGAAGTACAAATGAAAGCAAGAGAGAGATAACGACAGATAAAGAGAGATATAGAGAGAGGAGGAAAAAGCAAAAGAAAAAAGTAGAGAGAGGTTAAGACATTTGCTAAGACAGAGAGAGGAGAAGGAAGTAGAAAGAAAAAGGTAGAAAAAGAGAGGGGAGGAGAAAAAGAGCGAGAGGATGAGAAGAAAAAGGTAGAGACATGAAAGACAGAGGGAAGAGAGAGAGAGAATTAGAGACAGAAAAGAGAAAAAGAGAGTCTTCTTTATTGTTATGTGTATCTCTTTTATTATCTATTTTATTTATTATATAGATCATTAATACAATGTTTTGCATTAAAGCAAAGGAATTTGAACTTAAGAGAGTGAGAGAGAGTGAGAGAGAGAAGGTGAGAGAGGGACTAAACTGTCTGTTTCTACTGTTGTTATTTATGTTCTTTGATTATTTCTGATTAAAGCCCTAATTTTAATTTAAAATTAGACTTATTGAAATGTCTAAATGTTCACTCTGCCTATTTCCTGATGCACTGGTGAAATACGGTGACGCTAATGAAGCCTTCCAAACTGAACTGAGAGATATATAAAGACCCTAAAGAACCTAAAGATGTGCACCTCCAAATCTAGTCCCGACACAGGTAACAGAACCTCCCGAGACTCTAATATAATACTGTGTGTATAAACTCAGCCTGCATTATCAGCCTGTTGAATTCTAAGGGACAAAAGAGAGATCAGAAAATATAAAATTCTATAAGAAAATTAAACAGAAGAAGAACTGAATCTAATCTCAGCTGTGTGAGTGCAGAGTGAGTTACTTCCATTCTGTTCAGGAGAATCACTTTCAGTTCCTCAAGTAAATCTGCAGACACACCTCCAAAGTTCAGTCTTAGAAGTTGGTTGATCATTTTCTGAAGTAATCAAACCCATTCAGTGATGTTGAGGTCTGGACTCTGGGGTGGTCAGTCCATTGTTCAGCTTCTTTGTTTGATGTGTCCGTCTCCTTTTCTCAGTGAGGTTCTTCTTGACAGCTACACATCCTTTCAGACCCATAGCTCTGAGTCGTCTTCTCACAGTGGAAGGATGGACAGAAACACCTGTGGATGTTTTCAGATCTGAAGCAGCTTGATTTTCTCCTCTCTCTCAAAGATGAGAGATGGGGGCAGTTTTGGTGTCTACCAGCCAAATTTTCTCTGTAGCTTTTAATCAGTTTTTGAACTCCAGTTTTGGAAAATTCACTTATTTTCACTCTGACTTTCTCCTTTCTTATAAAAGTGGATCTTATATCTAAACTCCTCTGAAATTTCTCCTGAAAAATGGATAATTTGTACTCAATGGCCGTTTCGACTAGAAATATAATAAATGAATGGGGTCTCGTACAGGTTCACATCACTGCATAGATGAGCAAACAGCAGAATCTGTGAGGAAGATGACGTTATTATGAAGATGGTGACAATAAAGGCTGTTGTGTAATTTGGTGCTATATGACTGTGTGCATGGATAATGACTCACTGTAATTCATTAACAAACACTAAAACCCTTTTAATTGTGCTCCCCTGGGGTGTTCGCTCTCTCTCTCTCTCTCACTCTCCAGCTGGGCTCCACATTCCCGTCATGTTAGAAGCGAATTTGCCCTCCAATTAAACAGGTGCCAATCAAACACAAAAACAAAACAACTGAGGGGAATAGATAGAGCGAGAAAGCGAGAGAGAGAGAGAGACA